GTGACGGTCGGGCCGTGTGAAGTGACTGAATGCGAACAGAAGATCAGCTTCACAGGAGACGCCATTGAAAAACTTAATATCCAGTTGCCCACTGTCATAATGGTTTCACTGTGTGATGCATGAAATATTAGCATTATATTGTCTTTTTTGAAAAAATATGACTACCAGTGCATCTGAAATTACAAGATTACTGAGTGTCCTGTTACAATGTTTACTTCCTTTTTTTATATATTTTTAAACAATTACATTATTTTTGAAAAATACTGATTGCAGATCCAAGAAGTTGCTATCTAAAGTATAAGGAACATGAAAAGCAAAACCTGCTAATTATTCATGTGTCAATTTCAGCCTGTCCACTGATTTTATTTGTAATCTCCACACCGGTTGGTTGCTTGCATGATCTGCACAGGTGTATTTAGTCACAAGCACTTCAGTCTCATGCTGTTGTGTGTTTTCAGGATCCTTCGACTCACTTTATGATGTGGGAAAGAAACTGGCATCGGGATCCCATGGCATTGTCCATGAAGGAATTTGAAAATCAGACGACAAACCAGCATGTTGCTCTTTCTGGATACACCAAACTTTTCTTGCCTCTTGTTTCCTTCTATCTTTCAAGTCCTGACATACACATCAGGGATTACAGTTTTGATCAAAACATGTTTTAAAAAAGATTGTGGATTATTATCATGTAAATAACAAAAAATGGATCAGTTCACTTACGCTCTTTATTTTTTAGGTGGCCATCAAATTTGTTATGAAGTGCTTGTCTGAGGACCTCATTGAACTGGTAAGTTGACACGAATTTATTCTTCATGAAATTTCTATTAAGAATTGTTTCATTAAATTCTAATTTGTGTATGTAGACACTTAAGATAAAACTGAAATAGATAATCAAAGCCTTGAAGCAACAGTTCTAAAGTACATAAAGTTGCTTTCATCACTTTATTTAGGAGATTTGAGGGTAAAGAATCTACTAACCTTTTGTCAATCAAAGCTCTGACACAAGTGACAGTAAAATGATTAGTGTCAAACCTTGATGACAAATAAGCAAAGTGTAAAACACAACAGATTGACAGTGAATGTTTAGCAATGAATAAATGTTCATGGGCATCCAGAGAATGCCATAGTAACAGCAACACATGCAGTGTATTTCATGGTAACATTACCCATAAACTACATATCTCAAAATCAAACAGGACTAATCATCTCTCTTCTGAAAACCTTTACAGAAAGCCTGGATCTTCTTGAGAAACTTCATGACGGAGGGTCACAGATCACCTTACATGACATTTTAGATCATGACGGGTTTAAAAACCCTTCATAGAGAAGAAAGAAAAAGATATTTAAAAGATAACCTTAATGTTATGCTCTCATTATTTGACAGGTAGATGCAGTTCTGCCTATAGCTCAGCTGCAGGCTCATCAGCCGGGGGACCCCCTCTCACCCAGGACACCTCCTGGTGGTAGAGCAGTAGAAGCAACGTATCCCTTCCACCACTGCAGCTGAACCTTGGGTTGGATGTTACTACTCTAAAGCCCGGTACGGCTGAACACTTTTGGCAATCCTATAAGATCATTACAAATCACACTGTGCAACATAGACCTATTAAACTTGGGTACAATGTGCATGTAGACTGTGTGAAGATTCCCACTCGTAGGCTATGACACAAGTCTCTAGAGAAGAATAAAACGTCATCAGCCTGCACTAGTGGTAAACAAAAAGACAGTGATGAATCACACAAAAAGAGGAAGCAGCAAAAAAGGAAGAGAAAAGAGCTTGAGGTAAGCAGGTTAAATTTTAGCATAGATCGTAGCAGCAAACACACTGTGTGAAGATCATGCTGAATATCTGAAACTGTCAGAAAATGATCGTAGGCTATCACATACTGTATCACGATCGCATTCTTGTTTCATGATGGCAATCTTTCTTTTGGGTCATCCAAAAATTAAATTGTATTATTTTACCTGAGGGAGGGGTTTGGCCAGAGGCAGTGAAAGGGAAGGGCCAGTCAGTCCAACCACTGAGTCTGTAATGATTATGCCAACAGCAGGGCATGCCAGTTGCACCCACCAACAGCACCTAGAACAGATGCCCGACCCAGACCATTTATATTTTAAACAAAATTGTATTAATATTTATAGGTAATATTTTCAGAATTGTTGTTTATAGGAAGAGAGAGGAAGGGAAGGCTAATAATTATATAATAATAATAATAATATCAATATCATCATCCCTACTACCACCATCTTTAATAAAACATAAATAGCAATAGTAAAAATATGCAGATTTTAAATGAAATAAAAGTACAACTTATCGAACATTATACACACACACACACACACACACACACATATATATATATATATATATATATATATATATACATACATACATACATATATATACAGATACATATACACATACATATTCACCTAAAGGATTATTAGGAACACCTGTTCAATTGACCCTTCGCTAAGCCCCGCCCTCCCTAGTTACTGTTGCTACGCCTGTCAAGCTTTCGCAGCTGGCCCATCTATTATAGTGTGGATGCACCCGGTGTCAGTCATTCCCAATGAGATAATTAGTAATTTTCGGCGAACAAGTGAAATATCTGAGAGAGCAAGACAAAAGGGACTACAGTATACATTCGAGGGATATATTCACGATATTATATGCAACCGATTAGAGAATAATTTCTTAAAAATTGAAGTTAAAGCCTTATAGTCCCAGCGCAAGCAGCAGGGCCTCATAAGCTGACCGTTCAAATGGGAAACACAAATTGAGGAACAGCAGTTTATTGTATAAACAGTTTATTGTATAACAGTTTATTGTATAAATAGAAAGTTTAGAAAAACTATTAATATTTTTAAAGGTTTTTTTTCAATGACTCATAAGGGTTTTGTAAACAAATCATCTGCATAAAGTCAGATCTTATGTTGAGTATTGAAGTTTTGTATTCCTTTGATATTATCATTTTGTCGTATTGCTGCTGCAAATATGGCAAATAAAGAAAGAGAAAGTGGGCATCCTTGTCTGGTTCCACTGTGAAGTGTGAAATTTTGTGAATGTGATCCCATTTGTTGTTATTGTGGCCCTAGGTGAAGTATATTTTAATCTAGTGGATGAATGAATCTCAAAAGCCAAATCTATGTAGAGTGTTAAAAAGAAATGTCCAGTTAACTTTGTCAAATGCTTTTTCGGCGTCAAGGGATACAATTATAGTTTTGTTATGTTTTTGTAGGGAAAGGTTAATTTGGTTGAATAATCTACGCATATTATCTGAAGCATTCCTTTTTGTGTGTTTTGCAGGTCACGACCCCATCATGCCAAGGGGAAATGACGACAAGGTTCAGTGAGCTTAAGGTGTCACCGCACATCTCTGCTGACTGCATCATCTAGGCCTTAGAATAGTTCCACAAAAGAATTGACCACACATGCAGCAAAAGTCTCTGCATCTATTTGTGTCTCATTAGTTCATCCTGGATGGACCAAAAAACTTCACAGTTCATTAAATAGTTTGTATAGAAAACCTTAGAAAACCCTGGCCGTTGGCCCCGAGTAAGCCCAGATTAAGCCCCGGAAGTGACAGTGGAAATGCAACTGGCCCTGGGATCATCTGATTTTTTTGTACATAGTATGGCTTATTAATATGATGTTGACTGAGATTGGTCTTTTAATATCTCTGTATTAGTACAGTAAGCCATGTTAAGCCTTTTCTAATAGCGGTTTTCTATGGGAGGAAAATGCTTAACGTGTTGCGTTCATATTCTAAGTTCATATGATTTTTCATAGTATCGCTTCTAAGATGTTGAATGAGTTTGGTCTTTTAATATCACTGTCTTAATACAAAAAGCCACATTAAGCCTTTTTCACATTCAGCGTTTTAGAATGTCCCAAAGAGATGCCCAAAGAGATTTATCATCACCTACTGGCCTAGACAATGAGTCAAAGCTTTATTGGCATGATTTAAAAAAAAAAAAAAACATTTATAGTACTAAGTATTTAAAAAGAGACAATACAGAATGTTTTTTAGGAAAATATATATAGGCCTAACAATAAATAAAGGCCAAGTGATAAAAAAAAAAAAGTAGTTGCAGACTCAATACAATGTGCAACATTACATTTTCTCGACATCTCACGATTTGGGGCCAGCCAGAGCCACATGATTCTGAAGTGGATTTAGTGTGCTCTGAGGTTTTGTATTTTTTAGACCTAGGACAGTTTTGCTCATATTCTTAATATCTCCCCCATTTATTTGAACACTGTTACAATTCTGTGGAACGGCAAACCAGAAACCAGCACCCAATGGTCCAGCGTGCAAAACATGCTGCTGACCAGCAATGCTGGACTGGGACACAACTTTGAAAATGTCTAGCCCTACACTACAGAAATATCAGTAAACATTCTGGGACTTGTTATTTAAAGTCATCAATTAAATCAAAATGAATTAAATTCTTATTTTTTAACGGAATTGCAGTGGTTACTATGATTTATCTGTGTACCTTATTATTACGAAATCAAAAAGCATTTAATCAATTCCTGATAGTCAAATGAATACATTTTCTTCTCAACTGAGAAGCTGTTTCACTTGGATATGTCACAACAGAAGGGAAGAAAAGAACACAATTTCTGTTTCATGCCAACTAACATTATTTATAAAAATGTTTTATTTTGATTTACTTTAGGCTGCGTGATTTTGGTTTAGTTTGTCATGTAACCATTGGCACCACAAATTAGAAATGACGCCTTCGTGTACATAGGAACTAACTTACTGAACATAACATACATTAAGAAGTGTAGGCTGTAGAAGAGTGTTACCCCGGTTAGAGCTTGGTTTCGCCGATTGAACATGCATCTTGTGAGTTCAGGAGAGACGGACAGATCTGGTGACCGTCGGCGTTGGGCTGCGTTTTTGCGCATGCGCGCTCACAATTGTATCCGGAAGTTTTGACTGGTCTCTGAAATTGACTGTGTGTATAATAATACCGCGGTGTTTCTGCAGAACTAATGATCGTCGCCAATTTTGTGTTCAGTTTCACTGGTGTTTTTTTTTTTTAAATAAAGCTATTATTACAGTACGTTGATAGTCGCGAATAGGTCAAATGTGGGTCATTTTAGGAGGTCGGCCATAAACCTACGAAACGCTTCAGCGCAGGGTTGACGATTTTTACGTACACCACAGCGCGAGCTCGTGCTGCCATGACACCTGCTGATGAAGCAGCGCCGAAGAAGAAACACGTTCGGTTTGCCAGGATGGAAGAGGACATTGACCACGACGAGCAGGAGGAGGACACGCTTTTCGACAAGCGTAAAGACATTAAGAAGGGTCTGAGAAGTGCGCTGAAGGGGGGTAAAGGGGTCATGAACCCGGACTCCGACCAGGTTGATGTAATTCGACCCGGACGAAGCCAGAGCAATGCTGGGGCATGCTGGCGATGGCTGGTCAGCCTTTCGCTTTGCGCATCGTTTCTCGGACTGGTGGGTCTGTAATGTTCAGCTTGCATATGGGAAAGAGAAAACGATCATATGAACACATAGGGCTTTGAACCCTGTGATTTTAATGTCCCATCTCCTGTTATTTTATGTCTGAAGGTGTTCTGTGGCTTTTTTAAAAAGCAACTGAATGAAAATAACTGAATAGATGTTCAAGTCATTGCTATGGTAATTTCCTGTTCGTCTAGCTACAGTATTGTACTAAAACAGGATAATTTTCTTAAGGGAAAATGTCTGAAAAGTTTGTAGTGGTGTAACATGACTGGTTAACATAACAGTCATAGTTTTTAAACATATTGTATGCATCCACACAATATATCTTGGTATTGTTTGAAGTACCATAAAAATACTGGTATGTGAATATAAATTACCATTTTAAGTCATTACTGTACCTTGTTGCTGTCATATAGCAGTCCATTTTATGTGCACATGTTGGAATGTGCTGCACATAGATTATCTTCTGTGTTTTTATATTTCTTGTATTTTCATATTATTTATATGGTATATTTATAGGGAATGGCCATCGCTGTATTGGGCCCTACCTTTGAAGACCTGGCTACCAATGTCAAAAAGAACATGAGTTCCTTATCCTATATATTTGTGAGTCGTGCATCAGGATACATTGGAGGCTCCCTGATAGGAGGGGTCCTTTTTGACTGTGTGAATCCCTATCTGCTTTCTGGTAAGGCCATTAACTCCACAGAGAAAAAGACAATGTGTTAAATGAAAGAAGCTTTTTAATATTTAACTTTAGTGAATGATTTACTTATAAAAATTTGTGTTTAATTATTATGGGAGTTGGTCTAACAGTTAAAGATATGGACTCTGGGTAATCACCTGATGAAGCTAATGTGTTTGAAATCCTATCAAAGGTTACTCAAATCTAGTGATCTGACGCAAAGATTTATAGAGCAGAACTGTAAATTAAAATTATGCAAAAAGAGAAAAGGGAAAGCACTAAAAGGGCTAAATAAAGAGAAAGGCTACAGAAAAGCAAGCTAAATTAACCCAGGATAATTCCCTGTCACTCTGCTACCAACTATCACGCATGAGTTCAATGATAGTTGTTGGGACCATGTCTCATGGTGTATGTTTTGTGGTAGGACCCCACAGAGTTGCATATTTTTTGACTGAAATGTTTTGAAAAGTCGTGGCAGTTAAAGGACATCTGTCAGTAGTACACTCGAGTATGTTCTGCCCTTTTTTTTTGTATTTAATTATATTTTTTTGTGGATATGTGATATGATTCATTGCTCATGTTTGGTTATTGTCTGCAGGCTTCTCAATGTTAATCACAGCGTTTGGGATGTCTGGCACTCCCTTCTGTAAAAAGGATTGGCTGCTCACTGTTTTTATGTCCGGTGTGGGGGTTTCAATGGGAATTTTAGATACAGGTAAGCATGCTCCTGGTGTAGACCGTGTTATAGTATGTAATACCAGCATTAAGCAATTAACAATGTGATTTTGACACTCAATATAAAATACAGGGTTCGTACAAGGTGCTTAAAATGCTTGAAGTACTTGAATTAGACTTTTAGAAATTTAAGTCCATATTTATGAAAAGATACTTGAAAAGCCCTTGCATTATTGAAATACAATATATGTCAAATTAGTGTTTACTTTTTATTGATAAAGCAATCTTTTCACACAAAATGAACACTGCAGCTCATCTGATATAGATATAGAGCCATTTCGCATGGCTATGAGTGTGATATTGTTCAGTATATGATACAGCTTTCATTATTTAGGTCAATCATATAGTCATGGAAGAAAAAATCAGTTTGAATAAGGAAAGCGATATCTTTATCCATTGAAAGGATACTATGACAAAGTTACCACAGTCTGCAGTGCTTAAAAGTCCTTGAATTTCATTTTACAGTATTTGCGCGAACCCTGAAAACACCTTTATAGCTTCTACTGTAACTGTAGTTTCTGGTTGTCAACAGGTGGTAATGTTCTTATACTGAACACATGGGGAGAGCAGGCTGGGCCTCATCTGCAGGCTTTGCACTTTTGCTTCGCTGCTGGAGCCTTTGCTTCCCCAATCATAGCCAAGCTGCTGTTTGGCCACCATTCCCACAATGACTCGATTAACACTCCTCTGGTGTCTGGCCACGCATCTAAGACCATCGTGCAATCCTCCCTGCCAATCGGCATTTCTTTACCATCCATGTGGGCCTACGTCGTGATTGGTGCTTTCGTTTTACTTGTGTCACTCTTTTTTTTTATCCTGTACTGCTGTTCCCCCAACTCAAATAGGGCAAAGACACCCTCAGGGAAGCAGCTGTTCTCCAAACGTCACAACATACTAATATTCCTGCTGTCCGTGTTCTTCTTTTTCTATGTTGGAAGTGAGGTGGCGTACGGTTCCTTTATATTTACCTACAGCAAGGACTACGTTCATTTGGAACCGGCTCATGCAGCGGGACTGAACTCACTGTTCTGGGGAACGTTTGCAGTTGGTCGTGGTCTGGCCATATTCTTTGCAACTTGCCTGCGCCCAGTCACCCTGATCCTGATGAGTCTAGTGGGCACCACGGTTTCCTCACTCCTGCTGTGTCTTTTTAACAAAAATGTCCCAATGCTCTGGACCTGCACTGGCCTCTATGGTATCTCCATGTCTACCACCTTTCCCAGCGGGATCGCATGGGTTGAGCAGTACACGACTGTGACGGGCCGCTCAGCTTCAGTGTTTGTGGTGGGCGCAGCTCTTGGAGAAATGGTTTTGCCCGCTCTGTTGGGCTTTTTACTGGGGAAGGTGCAGAATCAGCCATTGCTGATGTACCTGGCACTTTGCACATCCACCTTCACTTCTATCCTTTTCCCGGTCTTGTACAAACTAGCATCCCCAGGAGGGGACACCACCTCACGGAAAACATCAGGGAGACGTACCAAGGATGCGGATGACAGCGAGTACCGCCAAGCGCTGCTGGAAAACTTGGAGGAAGAGGAACAAGAAAATGAAAGTGAAGCCGACCAGTGGAATGATGCAGACTTTGAGGTGATAGAGATGGACGACGCCAGCCTGTTGACCTCTCCTTCCAAAGCCTCGGTGCCACCTGATGTTGCAGCCAGTGCACTTGCTGCCCACTCAGTGGCCACTCCATTGTCAGCACCCTCAAAAGACACCACAACCCTGGCCCAACCTCTGACTAACAGTCCATCTTTTTCCACAGACTCTCCCAGACGCAAACTCTTATTGTCCCTCAACAGGGAGAAGAAAGACTGATATATTGCACTGCGTCAAAGAATTCGGAGAAGATCCGAGAAGCTAAATCCTGCTCTTCACATCAACCTGAAGCATTTTTTTCTTTGGTGAAAAGATCACACTAGCCAGTTGATTTGCACTTTCTAAATGCCAGTTGCATGTTTGACGTTCCTTATGGCAACACCAAACCTTTTCCGACTCACCACTGTACAGGATTATCTGATATCTCATTTTAGACATTAACTGAGAAATGTCCTGTCAATGACGATCAGCCTTGTTATTGGACACTAATGTATGTTAAGATTTTGGGACTTCTATATCTCTCCTCATTTGTTGTTGATTGATTTACCTCGAATTGAAGGTTTTGTAAATTGTAACCAGCACAATACACTGGTTTTAAGAATTGTGAAAAGATTAAGACTTGTTTTTGTATTGTATGGTTAGATTGGATGTATAAAAAGTTTCATTAATAGTAATATTTTGATGCTGAAGTCTTTCTTGAGCATCCTCCTTTTTATGTTAACAAATAATTTCTATTCAGTCAAATGGATTGCTTGGGAACTACTAAATATTAGCACATTATGGCTTAAATTGTGTGAATTTAATTTAGTTTTGCTTTCGGTATAGACAGACAAGTCACTTCTGGGTTGGACATGATGCAATTTCACAATTTTGCATCAAATCAAATCGATCTGTATTACATTTTTATTGCTTTGTTAACCAATATGTGGAAGAAATCCTACACCGCACACATATTTGACTAATTTGTGAATTACAGTAGTGATGTAAAAACCAAAGGGCCCATTTAAATAGAAACAAGCATTTGTTAAATACATCAACTTTTATTATATCAATATTAAATCTCCACCCACAAATGTTCTTTAAAAACAAAGCACCTTAAGTTTTTACAAGTTTACAAAAACAGGTTACAGATCTCGGAAAGCTCTCGAGTTTTTACATAGGTAGGTAACAATGTCTGGTTTAGAATAAAGAAAGCATTAGAAAAGTTTTTTAAAAGGCAAAAAAAAAAAAAAAGTACAATTGTGCACACAGACAATATAAATTATGAACCATATTGCCGAAGTCCAAGTTAAGGCTGATACTGACTTGCTTTTTCTCAGACTTGCCTCTGTAGAGAATGGGCAGACAAAAATAAGCAGGGTATAAAAAACCCTCCAATATTTTAGTTTCTTTTTTTTTCATCAGTGCTCACAGACAGAATTTTGGATCATCATATGCCAGACTTATTTACAAGACACTTTACCAGGGCGGGGCGGGATAATTTCAGTCAAATCATTGCTCCACAAGAATTACAGCCAGTACTGAATCTCCTTGATTTATAAATTGCTACAGTATGAGGTTCAGTTTAGAGAGGATTATGCTGTAAATGTTTGGCCTGTCAATCTGCAGAAATATACCAAATTATTTAACACTCTGACAACAACCATGAAGCAAATTCAAACACAGTGCATTAATATCATCTTCCTCTTTTCTGTATTTAAGGCCTCTTCAATCTCCCTACACTGCAGTCAGAAAGTATTAGATGGAATCTCTCAAAGCTCACGTAGGGGGGAAAAGCACCTTTTCAAACTATGACACAGAAATTGTGCGGAATGGCACAGTGTTAGTAGCACCAGAGTAAAATGAAAGAGGACTCTCAGAACTGCTCCAGTAGCTGGCGAAGGTATGGTCCTCGGGAAAGATGCCGACTGACACGAGACAGCTTGTAGAGTATAGGACAGTCCAGTGAGACACATGGCACCTGACGCTCTGCACTGCCACTGCAACTTCGACATACCTATCAATCAAATAACAACAAAAGATTGATACATGACAAACATGAAGCATATAGCTAGACACTTTTGACCAAATCAGGTCCTCATTGTAGCTTAAGGCCCTTTCGTACATAAAATGTGTTGCAAAAAGTGGTCTTCCACACCAAAAGCTAAAGAAAATTAAGAGTCGGGCTGAAGGAAATGGCATGCCTGCCTGTACAGAGAGTACAACACAAGTTCTCCGCTGCACTGCCATTCCAGGTCTCACAACAAAAGGACAAGACCATTCAGCTCTGCCAATTCACCAATCAAGTAATTTGCATGGTTAAATTTGATCACTGAAGGTAAGCACTGGTAAATAAACTGAGAGTAGATTATTAAAGTGCTTCAGTAAAATTTTAAATATTTATTGAAATTTTGCAGGTTTAATAGTATTCTGTGTTTGTATAAAGTCTGGATATCATGTTGCGATATCATATTTGGCAGCAGCGGCACTGCAGGAGAGCACGAGAAACGCCTGTGGTCTGGATTCTCCTGCTATTAAAAAAGATCGCTATATCATCACATTAATTTGATAATTAAGGGCAGGCTAAAACAGCCCTCAGTCCGACGGCCAGTCCGCGAGTTTAATCTCCGCAACCGCGTGCCTAATGTCGTTCAAGAGGATTCACAAACGGACCAAAGAGCAAACACTAGACTGTGCAGGTAGTACTCATAATAGATAGCAATTGGTTTGTTATGTCAGATGTATTTTGACAAGACTACAATTTTTCAACACGCCAAAGTGGCTAGTGGGAGTGTCTGTATTACCCGCCACGCGTAAAATCCACCCGCATTTGGCGGGTGTTAAAGGGTTAGTTCACCCAAAAATGAAAATTAAGTAATTAATTACTCACCCCCATGCTGTACCAACCCCGTAAGACCTTCGTTCATCTTCGGAACACAAATGAAGATATTTTTGATTAAATTTGAGAGCTGTCTCACTACCACATTGGCTGCCTAAGGGACTGGCTCTTGACGGCCCAGAAAGTCAATGAAGAAAATGTTTAAATATTCCAGGTGACTACCGTGGCTCAACTATAAGTTTATCAAGCGACGAGAATACTTTTTGTGCGAAAAAACAAACAAAAATAACGAGTTTATTCGACTATTCCTTTTCTTCCTTGTTGGCCTGAAACGAGACTTCCTTATATTTCCACGACGAAGGTCTTACGGGGTTGGTACAGCATGGGGGTGAGTAATTAATGACTTCATTTTCATTTTTGGGTGAACTAACCCTTTAATGTCAAGCCCTGCACAGAAGGCATTCTGGCAATTTCCTGGCATTTCCCGGGATCAACGCACTGTGTGAAAGGGGCTATAGAGATAATGTGGTATAAAACAAATATCTAAAAAGTCTTGGTGGACAAGTTTTCTTAATCAAAAAGTACTAAATACAGATTAGAGGGCACCATAGCAGAACATCTGCTTAGTGATTAGTTAGAAAAAAAAATCATTTTAATAATCTGAAACTGGTTTTCAAGTAGGCTTTAAGACACAGACCCATACAGTAGCTCTTTCCCAGAAGTTAAAGCCAGATAATCAGAACAGGTCAGTGAACAAACTATGGCATTCATGACTTCTGACCTTTAGGAGCTGGTCTTGCTGGCTTTCCCAAAGCCGCAAGTCTTGGTGTAGGTGAACCACAACACACTGCGGTTCGGCCCGGCATCGCTCACATACTCCCAGCTGTGTCAGCTCATCACAAACTGGGCAATGCAGTGTTGTAAAGTACTGAGAGATGGTGCCCTTTCTTGTGCCCTCATCTCCTCCTCCACCTCCGGCAGAGCTCCAGGCCTTCTGTACCTGTGCAATGAAAACACCAACAAATGACAGTTTACAGCTTACAGTTGCATATGAAAGTATTTTAATATGTAAAAAAAAAAATCTTCTTAAAAAAAAAAGTCTTCTATCCCACCACCAGATGGTGCCTTTATATCAATAACAGCTAGTATGTTTCAGTATCAGAACAGACAAAGAGCAACCGAAAAGTACAAGAACTAGTAGATGCATCCATTAAAGCTGAACAATGTTTCAGTCTCAAGCTTGATCATTCATATTCTGCATTTGCTAAAAGACAAAATGACGTAACTAACCCTTGGCAACTCGTGGTACCAGATGAACACATCTACTCCAATCAGGTTAAAAATCCGTGCAAGTGGTGGCAAGATCTGCTTGGTGATGTAGTAGGTGGCGTTGAGGCGCAGGCTGGGGTCCTGCAGCACCTCTATAGGACGCCGAACCAGCTGTATGAGCGGCACTCCCGGCATCCCATACACAATGACATATGGCACACGCTCACCCACACGTGGCTCCAACCGCCGATCATGTGCCATCATACGCCTAAGACACAGACAGAAAAGAGCACACAAAAAAGGTTTATACAGCAATCTTTGTGGGACATTTTAAGTGAATTTAGATTCAGCCTGGATTCAGAACAAGGAGCTGCATTTTCAACAAAGATAAAATTTCCCTAAACCATACCTCAAATCTAATTTCAACATCTGTTAATGGATGTGTTGCTAAGCAACAGCCTTAGTCTAGCACAATAATAGGCTTGCAGCACGCATGCAGAAAATAAAGCGAGTCCTGAAAGGTCTGCATGTAGTGGTAGTGAGTAGTGTAGGCTAATGTCATCAGTCCAACAAAGCCTTAAATGTGTGCCCTTAACGGGAAGGTAAAGCATTAGAGAGCTCCATAAGCATGGTCACCACAGCTGCACCAATATTTGCTATTGATGGCACCAATATTTGCCAAGTATGTACCTTTCATGTGAATCTGTTTTGTGGGTGAAAAAGGGTGAAGCCTGCATATCTTTGGCTATAGTTAGTCTTTAAATGCAAGACAAAGTCCCAACAGCACCCGTGAACAGAACAAGTACGCCCCTTCACTGAACCTTTCAGTATTTATTCCGAGTTAATAACAGAAAAACAAAAACAAATCAGCCATCTTGTTTCATGAATGTGGATCTGCTACGTAAGGGAAATGTCGACGATTCAATCTTTTTCACAACAAGGACAGAATAGTTTAGAATAGAATTATAAATGTGTCAAAGAGACAATGACACTAACAATATACAGGGGTTGGACAATGAAACTGAAACACCTGGTTTTACAACACAATAATGTGTTAGTATGGTGAGGGCCTCATTTTGCATCCAAATACAGCACCAATTCATCTTGGGAATGACAGATAGAAGTCCTTCACAGTGACCAGAGGGATTATGAGCCGTTCCTCTTCCAGAACAGTGTCCAGGTCACTATATGATGCTGGTGGACTCGCTCCTCCAAAACACCTCAATAATATTTAGATCTGGTGACTCAACGTGGTGATGTTCAACTTCACTTTCATCCTCATCAAACCCTCCTGTCACAAGTCTTGCTGTGTGTGTTGGTGCATGATCATGCTGATACACGGTTTGAGCATCAGGTGCTCATGATCCTCCAGAAGGGTTTGGTAGTCCTCGGCAGTGTCGTGTCCATCAAATACAATCAGGATTGTCATGATATTGGAGCTCAAACCATCACTGATCCACCCGTGCTTCACTCTGAAGATTGGCCGCCAGGCATATAGATGTGAAACCTCCAACATTGGCCAGTGTTTCAGTTTCATTGTCCAACCCCTGTATTACAATGACAGATGTTACTGAAATGTTTTTTTAAACCATTATCGGCCTTTTCGTATAGCTAAATAAATTAAATCTCAACAGGAAAATTAATTTGTGAGAAATTCTTAATTTAGATTTGTAGACATGCAACTTCTAATAAAGAATAATGC